TGAACATCCTGGGGCGACGGGGCGCTGGTCCCCGCGAGACCGGGCGGAGCGAGGGCTGGGGCGGGTGGGGACTGGCACCCCGGGCTCCCGCGTCGTCCCTCCTCGCGCGCTCACGCAAGGCCTCCCGGCCCTTCCTTCTCTTCTGCCCCCACCGGATAGGGAACGCGGGGGTGCTTTACGGCTGTCGCAAACCGCCTGCGCCGAGCGAACGCAGCGCCCGACCTCGGAAAGGGCGAGTCCCGTGCGCCTCGAAACTACCATTCCCGGCAGGCCGCGCGCCATGGAAGGCTGAGCAGGCGCCTCAGGCCGGAGCGGCCGTTACTATGGAGACGCATCGAGCTAGGCCTCCTCTGCTTGTCCCTGTCTAAAGGGCTTCTGCGAAAAAAATGGAGAAATAAATGGACTGGGCTTTAAACATATATTCCCAGCATGCCTTTGCGACCCATAGGTGTATACTGCCTCTCGACTTGATCCCCAATGTTCCTTTTAAGGTGCATCCAGTTTACCGGGCATCTGATAGGACAACTGGAATCTAAGTCCAAGCGCAGCTTTCATTAGAGAGACATTCAAATGGCCAGCTTACCCAGGACGATGGAGACTCGGTCCTTGGCTTTGGCCGCCCCCAAAGCCACCCATTCGCCATCAGTCACTGCAGGCGCTTTACAGACTGGAGGCATCCAACATACTAAATATAATTCACAAGGTTTTGACAGCACTGCGTCCACCCGGCCACTGTGGTTTGCAAGCTACAGTGGGCGGCAGAGTATTGCAGAACTCCAGACCAATTACGGCTTATTCAGGGATCTTTGGCTAAGCCATGGCTTAATGCACTGCGATATTAGTTGGTATCAATGGTACTAGCTGCTATTTGCTTCCATTTCCAAAGTTTTAATCTTTAAAGCCCTGATTAGGTTGGGACCTGGTTACCTAAGGCCAGAAGGCATTGACTTTAGCCCTGAAATCAGCCGTAAAGAACTTGTTTCTAGTCCCACTAATAAGTACATTTAGGTTTGTTGAGGATGCAAAGTTGATTAGTTATGTTCCCCCAGCTTATAAAACTATGAGATATTTGACTCTCCACTTTCTGGATCCCAAAAATATTTCTATTTCAATTTGGTGATTATGTTTTTCATAGAAAGATTGCTGGCTATGCTGATTTAATGCTATTTCTTTAGCTAGGAAACTATATATGCTTCCTTAAGTACCTGAAAGTTCACTGTATTCATGCTTTTTTCAGTCACATGCAGCTTTAGAAAAATTTCTTAGTTTTGGAAAAGTTACATGATACTCCACAAATAAATGTCAGGTCTGATGTAAGATCACTCATGACCACATAATACCTATTTATTACAAGTTGTAGTGTTTGTAGGTCTATGGCCCTTAATACTACAAAATATTAACACTAACACTGCAAAACTGTCTAAGATAAAGACATGTCTTTAATCCAGTGGATTGGACAAGGGTAACACAAAATATGATTCTACAATCCTTTGCAGAATTTACTTAACTCAATTAGAAATTAGAAATAAATTGATAAATGGTAATGGGGAAAAAATCAATATTCCAACCACTGTTAGATTTCTGAACATTACAATTTAATGGATTTTTCTTAGCTGTTGATAATCAAATTATGCCACTATCTCATGCCCCCCGCCTACCATCATTAAAGAATCTGATTATCTTTATGCATTCTGCCAGAACCTTGAGGGTTACTTTTAATTCCAAGTTCAGTTTTACCTACTACACTTCAAACAATTTCTATACACAGATCTGAGATATATTTGAATGCACTGATGAAAAGATGATATAGGATAAAGCATAGGTAGCATCATCAGTGCTAATGAGTGTGGAGTTTGCTCCCTGTTTATAAACTGAAGAAGTTACCTAGTCAGGTAACAAAATGTCTGGAAGTAAACAACCAAGCTCAGAGAACACCAACGACTCCATAGTTCAGCCTTGAGCTATACAGATTCTCTTCTATTAGTAAAATATATCTATTTGTTATATAAGACTGCAGGGAATAGTTTCACAGGAAGATCCACTCTCTTAGATACCAGCACCTGAATGCTGGTAATCACAATTATAAAATGTAATATAATTCCTTTTTAAACTGGGGAAAGTTGTTAAGTAGTAGCAAAAATCTAGTCAAAAGTTAGATTATCACTGTTGCATAAGATTATTGTTTTTATCTCCATCGTAAGAAAAAGGTGCTCACAAGGATGGATAAGTCAATAAATAATATTAGTAAAAATATTCATAGTTGACTTTGCAACTTTTATTTTAAAAAGAATGTTTTGAATACACAAGTCCTAGAAACTTCAAAACCAACACAGATGAAATTAGACTAGCTGGTATATTTAAAAGAATAAAAATATAATTAGAAAAAAAATTAAAGAAAACTGAAATCAGAAGAATACATATCCCTTAATTAAGAAAAAATATATACATAAAGAACATCACATGACGAAGAAATTCATTCCAGTCAATTAGATGAAGGATTAGCAAAATTAGTAGACAGGACAGACTCCAAAGACAAAATGTAGTTTTTATTTATTGACAGTATATATACACTACCTTCCAGACCATACTTTCACATGCTGAAAACTGAGTAAATCAAAACTTCAGTACATAGAATAATTTGAAGAATGGGCACTTTTTAATTTATACCCTCCATTTCTGCTCTAGTAAGCACACAGAACATCAAGAAAAGGCAGGTTAAAACATTTACCTTGTTAAAAGACTGAAGAACAAAAAGTCTATCTTGAAACTGATCTGAGTTTGTGAAAACTGAAACCATCTTATTTCCACATAAAAACAGATCAAAGAGTAGTCAAAAAGGCAACGCTTCTAGAACCCTAAAGATCAGGGGCTAATATTAAACTGCACTTTAAAAGAAAAAAGAATCCACGGGCGCGCCAGTGTGGATTTTAAACACCGCGCAAGGCGTAAATTGGGAATTATCGTCCTTCCCGATTACTATCGGCATCAAAAGGCCCGTCACTTTCGCTTTCTCTGGCTGTTCTCCCAAAACGGAATTCGCTGGAGCGGCTTTCGCAGATCTTTTTACCGAAAGGGCTGCCGTTCAGTTTCGGCGAGCTGGAAATGGGGAGTTTCAGCAGCCCCTCGGTCCGGCCACCGATCTCTCTCACATTCACACACACACACACGGCCAACGGACGCCCTTGCGAGGCTGACCGCCGCCGCTTCCTTCTCTTTTCCG